TGCCTCCTTCCCCTCTTTCCTTCCCTCCTGTCCTTCCTTCCTTCCTTCCTTCCTTCCTTCCTTCCTTCCTTCCTTCATTCCTTCATTCCTTCATTCCTTCTCCCCTCCCTCCAGCCCAGAGGAGAAGCAGCTGCTTCTGGAACTTCTTGAGAAGTTTCCTTGCCTGCTTTTCTCCTTCTCAAACGCCTTCCAATGACTGGCCAAGCTCTCCTCCCCGGAGTCTCTGGGAATGGAATGGGGTGTGTGTGTTATTGATTAAAACTTTTGCCACCCGGTGTTGCGGCTGAGGTGAAGCTGCCAATCTCCCGCTGGCACCCCCGACCGTGGCAGCGGTGCCTCTTCCTCCGCTCAGAGTACCTGAGCTGGGCACCACATTACTCCTGCCCCCTCCTCCTCCGCCGTGCTTTTGAGGAGCCATGAGGCCGTGGGAGCCAGTAGGAAGGCGGCGGAGGGGGCGGGAGCAGGAAACAAAAGGCCCCATGGCTTCTCAAAAGCACGGTGGATGAGGAGGAGGGGGCAGGTGTAACACGGTGCCCAGCTCAGGTGCTCCGAGCGGAGGGGGAGGCTCGGTCCTGGGCGGGGGCGCCAGCAGAAGCTTTGGCAGCTTCACCTCAGCCGCAGCGCCAGGTGGCAAAATTTTTAATCAAGAACACACTGCCCCCCCCATCAATGGTGTCCCGCTTAAACAATTTTAAAATCTGGTCACTTTAAATGAAAGTCATTTTCATAAAGAAATTCAGGTTTGTGCATTCATTTATAGTAAGAAAGTATAATTGCAGAGAGAGAAGCTTTAATAAATTGGAAAAATTTACACTTTACTGTTGATTATATGGAGTATATTTGCAGAAAGTTGCTTTCATTTTCTTGATGTGGATTTTTTGTTTTGTTTTTATTAAGGTACGGACACTCTTTGTCAGTGGTCTGCCCCTGGATATCAAACCCCGAGAGCTGTATCTCTTGTTCAGACCATTCAAGGTATTTTCTTTGACTATTAATCTTGAAAGACAAAACTGAGACCAAAAGCCTTGGTGTGCTTATTTATAGAAACATTGTGATTTGTGTTGTTATTATAAATGGCATATTTCCACAGTAATGTCTGACGGGTTCCTCTGGAGGAGAATATAATATTCCTAGTATCTGGATTTTTAAAAGTTTGGAATACAGTTAATTGTAATATCGTATTTCAACTGAAAACTTGGCTAGGAGGACTTTCGAAGAGACTGAAAGTTGCCCAAACATTCCCAAAGAAAATCACTATATATATTAACAGTGGTGTGAAGAAAGCTCCAAGTTACACATACAAACTTCTACTGATAATAAAGATTAGGTAGAGCTCATAATGTCTGTAAATGACATGCCATATATTGTAGGTGCTACCACATATTCTTCCAAGGCATATTTTACTGTTGTTTCTTTTTTTCATTTTCTAATACCGGCAATGGAAATGTACAAATCTAACAGGTTTTTTTACTGGGCTGAGAAACCTCATTTTCATTTGTAGGAAGCATAATATTAGCCTATATATGTGTGAAATCCATGTTTCTTGGTAATGAAATATTTTAATCTACTTCATTACATTTCCCCACCCACCCTCTTTAAACTGGGTGTCATGGGGAAAAAATCTTTTTTGTGTCATTTCTGTTTGACATCTTGATTATACACATATTATTATGACTGTACAAAGCATTTGAAAGAAGTGTTTCACCAAATGTGTTAGAAACAACAAAGCATCTCTGTTTGAAATGTTAAAACAGCCAGGTAGTTTGCAAGACTTTTAGCTTGCAGAAGACTTGAGTTCTTTAACACTTCACAGAGAAGTGCTTTGCTTATGCCCATCTACTTTGCCAAACATCTCTTTTGAATGCTTTTCAAATCCCTAATACATATCCTATTAGCAGTTTCTTAGTACTGAGGTATCTTCCATTGTATCTTTCACATGGTACTTTCTAAATCATTTAAACACTAATTTTGCCTCAGGAAAGATAGAGACCAACAATCTTTATTTCTGGAAAGCCCCCAAATGTTTCTCCCTGTAGGCTGATTCAGAAGTGGCAGTGCTTGACAACTTAAAAACAAACAAACATGGGTGCCCTCGTCCCAAAGGTCCTTTTTCAACAGGCAACTGGACTTTCTGGTTTTATTTTGAAGACATTTTGCTTGTCATCCAAGAAGCTTCTTGAGGTAACATGGGTGCCCTCAGCTATTAACTCTAGTACCCATTCTCAGCTCAGGCCTAGAAATCGGGACACTAAGTTCTAGTTCTATCTTGGGCATGAAAGGCGATTGGTTAACTTTCAGCCAGTCACTTTCTTTCAGCCCAATATACTTCACAGGGTTGTTGTGGGGGAAATATGAAGAAGAAGGAATATTAGGTATGTTTGCCGACTTGAGCTATTTATAAAATAATAAAGGCAAGATAAATCTAATGATAAATATTGGGGTTTTTTTTAGCAGACACACTTTTTATTATGGCTTGAAAACAGAATCAGACTTACAAGATTCTGTTAATGTAACCTTACAATAAAGAGGAACAATTTCATCGGGTGTCTGGACTACCTCACAAGCTGACATCAGTCCTGCAAATCTGATAGTACATTTCTCCTTGTCACCTTTACAGCTCAAGAAATAGAATGGATCCCTTCTGGCACATTTGCCATGCCTCTGGCTTTCTCCCTGTCTCTCAAGGTCGTTCCCACATACCTTTACCCTTGGGACAATTTGCAACAGTGGTGAATTGCATGCTAACAATGAAAATATTAGACTGCTTCAGCAAAGAACTCTACCATAGAATCTTCTACCCTGAGGGAAAGCGTAAAGGGAAAGGCTACTCAGCTGTCGAAATGGAGAAGAATTGGCAGTGCCCTCAGCCTCATTGTAGTTGCTTTATCATAAATGTTTGCAGAATGTAGTGGTGGTGATGGGAACTCCTTAGGTATTCTCTGAGCGTACAACAGTAAAATTGCCCAACTGATCTTACCTAACAATAGGAAAATAATGTCTTGCCTTCACAAGGGAACTATCAGATATGGCAAAGCAGTTGTTTACACCAGCGGGCAAACCTTTGCCCTAGAACTGAAAAAAAAAAAGACTGCTACACTCTCTGTGCAGCATTTTTTTCTGGAATGGAACTGAATCAGTAGTTAATTGGCAAGCCCACTGTGTGGAGAGGACCAACTGGTGCAGCAGCACCAGTTTCGGAGCAGTAGAATCCTTGCATTATAGAACAGTCCTGAGTACATGAACATCTTGCCGTGCAAATTCCTGTGCATTGCATCATGATGTAAGTACAAAATGGTGGAGCTCATGACAGCACAACACACATGATGTCATTTTGGCACTTTTTAGTTGTGAGGAATGAATGAATGCCTGTGTTAAACATAATGGTATAATATCTTATTTGTGTTACTCCAGAGCAAATACGGAGTCTCTATGGAGATTCTTAACCATCCAGGTCATGGTTGTCCCAAAAGGTATTTTTCCAAAAGACACTGGATTTTCTTGGTTTTTTTAATCTTTGAAAATGTTTCTCTTCTCATCCAAAAAGAACTGAAGAAGCTTCTTGGATGAAAAGTGAAACGTTTTCAAAGAAAAAAAAACCCAGCAAGAAAGTTCAGTTGTCTTTTGAAAAAGATACCTTTGGGACAAACTTGATCTTGCTTTTATATATACATATGTAAGATATATATTTTTCTGTATACTTTATTCAAAATACAGTATGGATAATCCTCATTAACTGACCACTCATTCAGCAATGGTTTGAAGTTATGATGGTGCTGAAAAAGGAGACTTATGACAGGTTTTCAAGATGGATTCAATCACATGGTGGTGATTTGGACTCTTTGCAGCTGGCATGCATATACCAAGATTGTAGCAAAACTGTCATCAGATGCTGTCATATTGGGCAGAGTCATGTAATTTTTTTCACTTTACAACTATGCACTTAGTAACAGAGTTGCTAGTCCCAATTACGGTTAGTAAGAGAGAAGTAGTTCCAACAATAATGAATATTTTTAAAGTAATAGTATATAACATTAATATTTTAACTCAGTTTTTAATCCTAATATTGAATACAAAGTTAAATTTTATTATTAATCAATTGTCTGTCTTAAGGCAATATGAAATAGTTAGGTCTTTTTATGGAATTATGGTTGCTGTTCTTTTAAAAGAAAACCAAATGATAAAGAATGATAAAGATAAAGTATTACCATGTGACAATGTGTTGATATATTTAAATGTACAGATCTAAAGATCTTGTATATTATTTTATACATATATAGTTTTTATTTTTCTCTCCAGGGGTATGAAGGTTCTCTTATTAAACTCACTTCAAAGCAGGTAAGACTAACACTGAATAAATGTTTATCATAACCATCGTAGGAGGTTATTAAGATGCGGTAAATTATAAATGGCAAACTTGGTATAAAAGTTTGGCGCAGAGGTTTAAATATCAGTAATCTTTATATTTCTTTTTCTTTTTTAACAAAAGTCACTGAAGGTGGTCAGAATAACTGAATTCACAGTTTTAACTCATTACAGTCTATCTAGTTGATTCAGTACTTATCTTTTAACTACGGTAATCACTGTGTTAGAGATGTATGATAGATGTACTTGAAAAATTAAAATTGTGTCCAGCCCAGTTCATCTGCAAAATGTGATCACTGACATGCAGAAGGGATGATTGTTATTATATTATGCAAATCTCACTTTTAAAAAATATAATTTTATTGAAGACATTTTAACAAGATAAAAAAATACAAAAATATTAGAACAGAAACAAAATAAGAAAGAAAAGAAAAAGAGAAATGCAAATAGAAAAGAAAAAGCAAGGGGATAAGAGTTGACTTCCCACCTTTTTGACAGCAGTTATAAATGCATTTATATTCCACCCTCTGTCTCTAAGGTTACATCATAATTTCCTTCTTTCCATAAGCTACCCTTTCTAATCTTCATACCCATAAATCACAAGCTTTCCCCCTCTTTTTTCAGCAAAAAATATGTAAGAGATTTGCAATCATTGATAAATGTAGTTGTTGATCTTTCCCTAATCTGACAGATTAATTTTGTCATCTCTACTAGTTCTGTCATCGTCACCATCCATCCCTCCCTTGTGGCCTTGTCAGAGTCTTTTCATTTTTGCACATATAATAGTCTTGTGGCAATAATCATATATGGAAATAATCTAACTTTCTAACTGAATGTCCACTAATCCCAGCAAGAAAAGTTCTGATTTTAGTTGAATGTTGGTCTTTAAAATTTGTTGTATCGTTGCATGTATTTGAATCCAGAAATTTCTGGCCTTTTTACAAGTCCAGTAGTCATAAAAATGATTCATGTTGTCCAACATGCATTTAAAGTACCTTTATACATTCTAGATAATTTTTCTGGAGTCATATACCAATGTTACATCTTTTAGATTATAACATAATGTAAATATTAGTCTTTTTAACCAGGTATTTTCCCACTGTTCCATCAGTGTATTGTGTCCAAAGTTCTTAGCCCATTTTAATCACAGTCTTTAATTTGTTCTTTTTCCATTTCAAACTTTCAGCTAAATTACATTTTAGCAAATACATGTTCATCATTTGTACATAGTTAAACTTCATATTCTGTCATCTGTTGTCAATTCCAAATGTCCTATTATCGACCTTAAATCTTTCTCTTCTATTCATACAAAAACCATTAAAAACTAAATCCCGCTACAGTCAATTACTCTTTTGAGTTCATCTTATATTCTCCATATTCCTGTTAGAAGAGCTCTTAATAAGTTAACCATTTTTCTCTATCTACTGTTTCTTTCCTGTAAAACGCTTCTTATGCTGAGATCCATAAAGGCATTTTCAGGCAGAACCTGGGTTTATATCTATTTCATAGTCTCATTATAGCATTTTTAATATAAAATTTCTCAAAATCTAAGTTAACCTTAACTTTTATCATACCATTAAAAAGTCCATACCATCCAAAGCTCAGATTGTGCTTTTCTAATTCTAAAATTCTCTTTATTTCTCAGAAAAATCAATTCTTCCACCCCTACTAAGCAGCAGGCTACAAAATGTCATTTCAATTCAGGCAGTCCCATCCTCGGTCCTTTGCATGTTAAAATATTTTATATATTTAACTCTTCTTTTTCCCCACTGCCATAACATTTTAGATGTATCTTTTTGCCATTGTTCAAATAGTAATCAATTATCATAATAGATGTTATTTGAAAAAGAAAACATTATTCTTAGCAAAATATTCATTTTTATCATATAAATTCTCCCCAAAATGATAAATCTTATCATGTCCTTAATTTCTGGTATTACATACAATTCATGTTTCATATTCCAGTATTTTGCTTTTTTCTTATTGTTAATATTCTCCCCCCCCCATCAGTTCCATTTGGTTTTTCCAGTTTTATATTCCTTGTTAACACCTGTCTTTTATTTATTTTAAAATCATTTAACACCCCAAATTCTTTAATTTGTCTATAAATATTTCTGCCCCTTCCAGGAGGTTTTCCAAAATTATCACCAGGTCATCAGCAAATGCCAGTAATGTATGTGTTTTTCTTTTAATCTTTATTCCAGCATTTCTTTCATCTTATATCTCGGTTGAATACTTCCAAAGCTAAAATAAATAACAATGGTGACAAGGAACATTCTTGTTTAGCCCCTTTCTGTAACTCACAAGTTTTATTTATTCTCAATTCACAATTCACTGTACTTTTTTTGATATATAAATTGATTTTACCCATTTGATAAAATTATCTCCCAAATCCATATATTCCAAAATTTTAAACAATAAATGTCCAATTCAAAATTGTCAAAGGATTTTCTGCATCAAGAAAAATCAATGTTATTTGCTTTTCATAATGTTGTTGAAAGTATTCCAAAATATCTTATATGTTTCTAATATTGTCCCTCAGCTTTTAGGTGAAAATTCAAACTGATTATAGTCCTATAAAACCATCTTCATTTTCTCAGCTGAAATCATCATAAATAACTTACAATCATTCTTCAATAATGATATTTAGAAATAATGTTTGGCCGGGTCAAATCTTGACCTTCTTTAGGTATTAGTGGTATATTAGCCTCTATCAAGCTGTCTGGTATCTTTTTAGTCTGTAAAATGAAGTTCATTATCTTTTGCAATGGTTGTAGTTATTTGTCTTCAAAATATAATAACAAGCTGGTAAACTATCTGGTCCAGATACTTTCCTTGTTGTGACTTTTTTATACCTTCACAACATTTCTTATTGTAATGGATCCATTCATTAATTATTTATGTAATTTTGGGAAATTTTTGTTTCTTTAAATATTCATCCATTTTTCCAGGGGAATTTCTCTTTCTTTACATTAATTGAAGTAGTATTGATGGCATTTCTTCTGTTAATATAATATTTCTATGTTTTCATTTTAATATTTTTTCTCATGTTCCTCAATTTATATACCAACGATTTCCCCAGCTTATTTGCAAGTTTAAAATTCTTTTGTTTTGCATAATTTATTTTTACTTTCATTTCTCCTACTATTAACAAAGACCACTGCTGTCATAAAAGTTTAATTTGGTGTTGCATAATTTTCTTTAGGGGGGGATTGCTTTAATTCTTTAATTTTTATTTGACACAAAATCATGTTTTTGTCTCTCTTTTTACTATTATGCTGTATAAAATATGCCTTCATAAAAGCTGTACTTGTGTCCCAAACCATTATTAGTCTCTACTTTTATTAAAATTACTATAAAAATGCCTTTAACATCTTTTTATAATTTTTCATTATTGTTTCTTTCTGCCGCAATGTTTGTTTACTTTCCATCTGAAAGAATTGGGTTTCCTTTTAAATACGAAAGTTTGAAAATACCTTTGGCAGTATGTCCACTTATAAACACTAATAGTCAAATTCTTGGATATCCAAAACATATTAATTTTTGAGAAAGATCTATGTCTTTTAGACTAATAAGTTTATTCTTTTGCATCATGATTTTTGTATCTTCATGCATTTACAAACTCTAGATTATTCATCATGTCAAAAAAACGTTTTGATAATTTATCTTGTGCTGTTTTAATATCTCTCTCAGAGATACTGTCCTTCTGTGGACAATTGTCAGACCCAAAGAACCAGTAACCCTTCCTAAGTTCAACACTCTGAAGAGTTTGTTATTGTTACCTATACACAAGAATCTAACATTCAAAGCTAAATTGGTGCTAAATAAGGGTGAAAGAAATTCATGGGGAGCTGTACAATTATTTCAAACTTATGATACATTTAACCCTGCCTTTCAGCTCAGCCTTCTGATCTTCTACAACAAATCACTCCATTCCAAACTTCCTTAAGTACCAATTTTCATATGATTAGTTTGTTCATAATTCTTTTGTAAAAAATTACTTTATCCTCATTTGGAGTATAAATGTCCATTATTCAATTTTGGTACCATGGAAATAGTTTCCAACCCCCACATATCTACCATGCCCATTGCCCAATTGATTTTATAGTTTTTATATTGTTAGCCACCCAGTCATTGACTGAGATGAGTGGCTATAGAAATTGAATGAATGAATAAATAATTATCAGTCAACATCAGTTCTAGTTTTAATTGGCGTTTACATATAAAACAATTTATTTCTCTTTTTAGTTATAACTGAAATTATTTTGCAGATAAAATATTGTATATTTTTTCTAATATGCATTTTTAAAGGCAAACTATATCTCGTTTGAATTTTTTGAAATAACTTCCTTCTTGTTTTAAGAGCATTTGCTCCATTTATATTTCACATTAGGCTTTTAAAATTAATGTCTATACCAAAAACAAAACCAGTCCTGTCATTACCTAATGTTGTCTCTTCCTCAGTTTTTTGTTTTAGCTCTTTAAGGTACCCAGTGCTGTGGCTCTTTGTTGCTTCCCTTTGCATTTCTTTCAGTTTATCTTTAAACTTTCTTAGAAAGTCTCTTGACTGCAGACTGCAGATTTCCTTCTTATAGTTTGATTCAATGAAAGGGACAGATGACAGTGGAAAGTATATAGTATAGGGATTTGCTGTTGCTGCTGCACTTTTTAAAAAGGATAAAGATCTTCAGGGTTATTCATTTGATAGCTAATCCAAATCTTAAAGAAAAAGATAATTTGAAAATATTGGTCAATAAAAACCCAAATCTAGATTTAAAAGTAGAATTGTTGAATGTTGATTATTTTCTCCAAGTAAACTTCCTGTATTCAGCATGACACATTTAGGGAAGGATAAATTATTGTATTATTATCTAAGACCATTTTTCATATTTGTGATTATTTTTGCCTGTGCAAAAAAAAACTAGTATCCAGTCATACTGAAAGATGGGAAAATATATTAATAGGTGCAGATTCTTAAAAAATATAATTTCAGATTTTTGTCTAAAAATCTTTAAAAGAAACCTAGCCTAAACATTTTGATTGTTTTTCACTTGCTAAGTTAAATCTGTTTACATACTTAGGAAGTAAAGTGTTTAATAAAGGCAAGAACAGAAGTGAGATTTGTTCTGTAGTTTCTACTAAATTAAGTGCTCTAGTACAATTATTTCATAAAGGACTTCCTTGCTTTAATGTTTTTATAGATAAATTAGTCTAAACAACAGACCTGTTTTAATTCTTGATAAATTTAGAACAATTAATCGGTGGTACAACTTTCCTCCAGAAGTTGTGAATGCTCCAACACTGGAGGTTTTTAAGAAGATGTTGGATAACCATTTGTCTGAAGTGGTGTAGGGTTTTCTGCCTAAGCAGAGGAAGACTTCCAAGGTCCCTTCCAACTCTGTTATTCTAAATGCAAAATGTAGATGAAGCATTTTGGAATAATTAAATAATCATTTTCTTCTTTTAGTTTGTTTTCATAGTCTTTTGATATTGGATAAATGATTTTCCACAGATGGGACATCTCACAATCTTTAAGATTCATTTTGGAGGCATGATCTCCTAAAGTTTCCAAGATTGTGAAATAAATAAAATTAACCAGAGTCTTTTAAAATTGTTACTTGATATATAAAATACAACATTGAATAGAATTGTCCAAAATATTTATTTTTAAATATGTCAGATATGAGTTGTTGAGAAAACTGCTATTTTAAATGCAAAATTCAAAATGCTTTGAGCATTTTGGGAGAAGCTTGAGCTTGAAACAAAAGGAGTTTCAAATTCAAAACACTGAATTTCAAATTTGAAATGCTTCCAAAATGTTTGGAAAGTCCCATTCGGCATTTGACAAGGGATATTTTATGAAAATTCACACTTTAAAAAAATCAGAAATGAAATGTTTGGACATTCCTAGTTTAATCAACAAAAGTCTACACAATGAAAAATCAATACCAGTTTATGAACTAAAGTTAATGTGATCATGTTTAATTTGGGCTATCATCAAATGAGGGTTTTCTGCTTAATTTTTGAATTAAAAGTAGCATGTGAAGTAATGGATAATTCTGACTGTGAATAGTCCAGAAACATTCTAATTTTTCTCTTCTTTCAGCCTGTGGGTTTCGTTAGCTTTGATAGTCGCTCAGAAGCAGAAGCTGCTAAGAATGCCTTGAATGTAAGTATATAGTATTAGTCTCAGTTGATTGGGTTGCTTTCTAAGTATGGTTAAATACTTAAGTACAGGGATGTAAAAACATTCAGGGAAGATGCTCTGGACTATATTAAAATGGAACCATATTATCTACAGAGTCGTGTACTGCAATTCAAATGGGAATTTTAATCAAAATTTCAAATTGTTGCTTTGAATACTTCTAAAAATGCATGTGCATGTAGAAATGATCAACTTTAGCAGAATAAAAATGAAACCAAAGGGGAGATAATTATATAATGTACTGCATATAGAGGATTGACTTACATCTCTATGCTATATCTAGTTCATCTGTCAAGTATCCATGGAATAAATCAAATGATTTTGAACTGCCAAAAACAGTGATGATTAATTATGGGTCACCAAGTTGTCAACTCTTAAATACATAGACTTTATCCAGGATGATCTGTTCCCAATCTGGTTCTTCAACGTTTCCAACAGTGGACTTCCATGACTGTAATCCAGCTTCTGTTTTTAAAAAAAATTATTTTATTTATTTATATTCCTATTTCTAAACTGCCCATCTCCCTTGGAGATTGGTTGTCCTGCTTGTCTGTTTTCTTCCATCTCTCCCAGCATTATGGCTTGTTTGTTTATTTAAATTTATTGCTCAAGGGAGCTGTGTTTTATCAAAATATGATAATTTTAGCCTGGTCACTCATGCATTTTTTTTCATTTGTTTGTTTACTTGGGTTTTCATAGTTATCTTGGGATTCTTTCCCAACACCACAATTCAAAAAAACAGTGTATTTTTTTAGTCTATTTTAAAATCATATCCCACTTTAACTTCCCTATCCATCATAAGAAAAACCATTGCTTGCCCAATTCTTGTCTCTGTAAATATAAACATATCATAACATATGAATATCTTTTCCAAGACCTTCATTATCCGCATGATGATGATGATGATGATGATGATGATGATGATGATGATGATGATGATATCATCCATTCAGTTGAGTCCAACTCCTGGCAAGTTTGTGGGCCAGGTCTCTCCACATCTTCCGATCTTGCACTCTTTCCTTGAGCTTTTCTATGCTCTGGCTGGTGTCAGCTTTGACGGTGATTACCAGCCTACTAAGTGCTAATCTGCAATATATTTCTTGATTGATGATTCCTTTTCTATGTAGTTGATCCTCATAAAAAGCTATCCACAACTTTAGTATCTTCAATGTTGCTGGTTGCTGTACCCATTGTTATTAGTTTGGTCCTCTTTATATTTCATTGTAATTCCATTGACAGTCATTGACAGAGTTTACAGATTATTTGCATTCTCAGCTATCAAAGTACTATTGTTAACATAAACCAAGTTATTAATTTTCATCTTCCAATTTTAAAACCACACTCATTTTCTTTCAAACCAAATTTCCTCAATATACAATTCTGCACATAGTTTGAATAAATGGCAGGCGTGACAACTCTGTCTCACTCCTTTGCCAACCTGGAGCCAATCTGTTTTGTCACGTTCTGCCTGCTTTGTAGTTTCTGGATTTGTTTATTGGTTCTGCATTAGGATAATATGGGATTCCCATTTTTCTAACCTATTGCTTACCTAATTTCTATAAATGTTTTATTAACCCCTGTTGTTTTCCAACTTGGTAATAAACATCTTATATCATTAGAGGTTCTTGTAAATAGGTAACATCTTCTAAGGCAGGGGTCCCCAAACCTCAGGGCACAGCCCACAACCAGGTTGTAGCCTATTGGGAACTGGCCATGCAAGAGGCAGGCTGGTTCATGTGTGCGGCTCCAATCATGCAAGTGGCATCCCAAAGGCTTCTCTTCTCTCTTGTGTGAGTAGAGCTGTACCTACATGCTGGCCTGCTGCCCTCTCCCCCCGAATCCCCCTCCTTATAATGCTCCCTAAAGCAGAGAGGTGAGAACAGAGAGTGATGTTGTGGGCCGCCAGCTGCCAGTGGAGTTGGCGGCAGACTCGGACAATGAGGAGATTGGGAAGGAACTAGGGCCAGTCCTGGAGTCTGGGGAAGGCTCTGATGGATGCTCTGCGGATGCTCTGCGGCAGAAGCAGAGATAAAGCCAGGGCCCTCCGACATTTCCTAGCTGCCTTCAGAGTTGGAGATAAGTGGGGAAGAAGAACAGTTGGGGCCTGTTCCAGATGCACGCTGAATGGCCCCTCCCTGGCTGGGGAATAAATAGAAGCAAAAGGGGAGTGGTGGTCACAGGAGACAACAGTTGGTATTTCTTTTGGAAGAAAGAAAGTGGTTTGTGCCTCAGAGACTGCTTGCCAAGAATTAATTTACAGCTTTGAGACTGGAAGCTCTTGGCCTGGCAATTATCCAAGGAATGATAATATCTGTTACTGCGGTTAACCCTTGGAATGATTATTGCCTGGACTTTTAGTGTGGTGTGAATGCCATGAATTCACAGTAGCTAAATAAAGAGAGGTTTTTTGGGACAAGGATTCTGTTTCTTGGTTCTGCTAAGTCTGAGTCGGAACAACTGAGTGGGATGAGCACTCTTTGCTCAGCTTCATTGACTCACAGAGGCTGCTTGCTCAGGAACCCGATCCACTTTCAGAGCATTGGGCAACCTCGGTTGACTCTGAAGAAGTACGAGACCACGCCCCCAAAGGCTTCACTTCTCTGCGCCAAAAACATTTGCAAATGGATGAAAGGCTTCTGGGAAGCGATCTCACACTGCTTCCACTTCTTTGCAAAAACCTTTGGCGTGGAGAAGCCTGAAGAAGCATGAAACTGCACCCCAAAGGATTCTCTTCTCTCTTGTGAGAGTGGAACCGTCTATGTGCATGCACACTTGTTTGATCTTTTTTGAATTATTTACTGCTTGCTTATAAGCATCCTTTAACATATCAGTTTTAGGTTGGAACTTCTCTCTGAATATGAGATCTTTTGGGAAATGTTCCTTGTTTTTCTTTCTCTGTTTCCATCTTTGATGTCTTCACAGATGTCATTGTAATATTACTGCTTGTATCTTCTAACAGTTCTCTGAAATTCTTTGATAAGTTACTTCTTGAGATTTTTGTTTTTCTTGACTTTGGCTTTTTCTCTTCATAGCAATTTCCACCATTTGTTCATATATCCACTTTGCTTTCTTCTGGTTTTTTTATGGTCTTTGCTGTCTATTTTCACGTTCATCCTTAATAACATCTTTGATATAATTCTGCAGTTCTTTAGTTTCCTATCAATGAGGTTCAGTACTTCAAAGCGATTCCTGATACTCTCCTTGAAAATGATGGGCATATGTTCAAGATATGTCATGGAAACTGGTTGGCTTTGTTCCTCCACTTTAGCTTGACTTGGAACTTGCTCATGAGCAGTTTGTGATTCTTTTCACGGTAAATCTCTGGCCACATCTTTACTGTTAATAAAAGAGTCTTCCACTATATTACTTGTGCCAGTAATATAGCCAGTTTGATATCAAGTGATATCCACTTGATAACGTCCATGTGCTTTGTATAGCATTGCCTGTTTGAAGATTGCTATGGAGATTAGCAATGGAGAAATCATTGGATTGACAGATATGATAATCATTCTTGTGTTTCATTTCTGTTTCCTAGGTGATAAGAGTCCAACTATGTTTTTTATTCTTTATTTGCAACTGCTACATTCCAAGCTGTAAGCATAAGCGATACATCTTGCTTATATGCTCTGCCAATTTAAGATTGACCTTAATTATTCAACTCATTAACTTCTTTTTCTTCTGCATCAGAATTGGAGCATAAACTTAGGTAACCATCATATAAAAGGGTAATCTGCAAAGTCTAATTGATATTATTTGGTCATTTACTGGATTGTAGCCAAGGAATATCCTTGCTACATCTTTTTCTGAGTATAAGAGGAACGCTATTTCTTCACTGTTTTTTTTAATGTCCTGATTAGTAAGCAGTATGATTTTCTGAATGGAAGTTTCCAATTCCACTCCATTTTAATTCTCTGATGCCTAAGTTTTCAATATGCAGTTGATTCATTTCAGTTCTTACTACGTTGAGTGTTACCATGTTCATGCTTCTTATTCCCATGTTCCATGAAAATTCTTTTAGTTACAGAATCTCCCTGTCTTCATTTCAACCTCAGTAGCTCAATATCCTGAAATTGCATCATAAAAATCATTAGTACTTTGAAAGATCCTCAGTTTTCTTCCACAGCATATTGAGTGCCATTTAACCTGAAGGGTCCATCATCTGGTGCCATGTCATCAATTATTTAATATTATCTATCCATATAGTTTTCTTGGTAAAATACAAGAGTGGGTTACCATTGCCATCTTTTGCACTGTATGTGATTATATTTTCCCCATTGTCTCTAAAGGGGTGAGCTATCTTCCTATACTGCTGCTGCCTGATATAAGTACCTACTTCCATTAATTGAGCAGCTGAGTTGACTTTCATGTCTTGCGTGACCTTCTTGGAAGTGTATGCTTTTGGTGCACATTCCAAGCTTTCTTTATTCATCCCTCCCAGGAACATCCCCTGTCATGATACAGCAAGATAGTAGGATTTCAGAGGGAAAGATGCAGTGGAGAACATACAGTTCAAACACTATTATGGTATGCAGAGAATGGAAGAGCAGTGTCCTTCAGTCCTGCCTGTATAAAAGAATAAGATTTATTTCCAAAAAGGGTAGACAGTAGGGGAACTTTTGAGAAGTCAAGGAGCATTAAAATAGCAAGCATGACTGGGAAATTGAAGCCCCACCCATTTAATGGGCACAGCAAAGCCAGTATATGAAGTGAGATAGGCCACTTTTAAATTCGGCCTATACTACCAACAGGCAGTTCAACAGATGTATATTTATAGATGGAAGACACTGTGTTAGTCATTAACCCTGGTGGTTAAATAATCATAAGCTCAGTTATTAAGAGCTATTGTTGAACATTTCTTGTCATATACTCCGTCTCCTCCAAACAAAAGATCAGTCTAAGGCTTCGTAATAGTTCCATTTAGGTGATTGTTGCATACAGTCCTAATCATACCATCAGTGGTTAGC